ACAGATTAAAACATACAGAGCTAAAAGAACAAAGACAGCGGATGGTTTTTTACTATTTGAGAATAGGCTGGGCAAGGTGGCCCATTCCTGTAATCCCAGCACTTTGGGAGGCAGAGGTGGGCAGATCAGTTGAGCCCAGGAGTTCCAGACCAGCCTGGGCAACATGGTGAAATTCCATCTCTACAAAAAACACAAAAATTAGCCAGGTGTGGTGGCATGTGCTTGTAGTTCCAGCTACTCAGGAAGCTGAGGTGGGAGGATCACTTGCACTTGGGAGGTGGAGGCTGCAGTGAGCTGTGATTGCACCAATGTACTCCAGCCTGGAAGACATAGTGAGACCCTGTGTAAAAAAAAAAAAAAGAAAAGAAAAAAGGGAATCTTTGTGGAGATGGTATAAATGAATGGTTATAAATGAGGATTCTGGAGCCAAAGAAAATAGGTTCCTGCTTGTCAGTCACTTACTAGCTAAGTAACTGTGACCAAATCCTTTAATTTCTCCAAATTTCATATTCATCTGTGAAAAAGAGGTAATAACAACAGTATCACAGGGTATGTGGTAAGGTTCTCAACAAAGGCTAACTGCAATGATCATTACCCAAGTGTGAACATCCAACTGCGAAGTCCAGCTCCCATGATTATCCATCATTCAACTGGCACGCTGGGGGCACCTGCCACAGATACCTTATGCAGAAGGCATAGGTTATTCGTGCAGTGTTGAACTTCTGACTTCTGCAGTCAGATGCCATGGAGAAGCGACTAATGATGACTTAAAGAGGTAGGAGACAGTGGCTTTTGCCTTCATTACCCTTTTGGGGTCATCCATCACTCCAAGATTCCAAGAAGGATGCATTTCACTTCAGATCACATTCATTACACAACAAGCTCTGTCAGACACTGCACTTCTGGAAGCAAAGGAAACTGAGGCCCAACAATTCCTGGGCCTGTATCACATGCCACTGAATGGCTGATGCTGGGGAAGAGGTTAGATGGAAGGAGATGTTAACAAGAAAAGCAGCAAGACAGACAGGGAGAGGGACAGAACTTTTCTCCGCCTGGCTGAGGAACAGAAAAAATCTGTAAGGCAAATGCTCTCCAAATTAATTATGTTTTCCTGACAAAATGGAAGCAAATGCCCAAGTAGAGGTATTTCTGCATGACTTTCCCTGACCATGAACTTGGAAGTAGTGCCAATTCAGGCTCAGGTTTCCTCCAGCATTCTACCAGCCCATTAACCACTGTCACTTCCCATTAATCACACTCGGTGTCTTTCAGCTGTCCTGTGCTTCCCTTCAAACATGTAAGCAGAGCAGCAGACACTGAGAACAGATGAAAACTCATGAGTCTCAATTTAAAGTACTAGAATTCTTAGTTTATTAATTCCTTCTGACATGGCCCAGATGTCTGCAGAGCAATTAGTAACAGAACAGGGTTAATGTAGCTACCTCATGCTGATGCAGATTCATTATGACTGATTGCTCACTTATGAAAATAAGCAAGTCTAATTGAGTTTAAGCCCAAAAGGACAGTACTAGACTTGCAGTCCACAGACTTCTCTACCTGTCTTGCTTTATCATGTTTAAGAGGTTACCACGTACTACATAGTAAGGATATTAGCTTTCTGTGTGTTTTTATTCATTTGATCCTAGCTGCATAGGGGTTAGGCATACAGATAATAGAGTGTACTCTATCAGGAAAGGACCAGGGAAGCCAGAGAGATGGGGCCAGTTGAGATACCTTTGGTTTCTTACATGTAAAGAACCCTGTGGATACCAGGCCACCTGAACTCCTGGGCTCACAAATGAAACTCAAGTTTGCCTCCATTAATTAGAAAACTAGATAAATCAGAGGGTGTCATTAGTTAAGAAATTCTGGCCTGGCATGGTGGCTCATACCTGCAATCCCAGCACTCTGGGAGGCTGAGGCAGGTGGATCACAAGTTCAGGAGTTCAAGACAAGCCTGGCCAATATGATAAAACTCCATCTCTACTAAAAATACAAAAAAAATTAGCCGGGCATGGTGGCAGGTGCCTGTAGTCCCAGCTACTTGGAAGGCTGAGGCAGGAGAATTGCTTGAACCCAGGAGGCAGAGGTTGCAGTGAGCTGAGATCGCACTACTGCACTCTAGCCTGGGTGACAGAGTGAGACTGTCTCAAAAAAAAAAAAAAAATTCTGTTGACTCTTTTTCCAGTGTCATATCCACTGGTCTGCTCTCTTTCTTCCCACTGACATCAGTCGGATGCTTGTTAGCTCATATTTCAATGACTGGAGAAGCCTCTTCAATGGTCTCCCTGGCTCAGGTCAGTCCATTTAACTGATCTGACTTTGAAGTATGTGGCCTAGAGCTGGCCTCAGTGGTGGCTTCTCCGAGAAGCCTTCAACCTGCTCCTCTTTCTGCTCATTCTACATGGTCATCCAAGAAGATCTCTTAAAGGCTAGTTTTCATCACATCAATCCTCTGCTCAAAAACCTCCAAAGCCTTTTCACTGCCTAGGGAATAAAATCGAAATCTTTTTATGCCTTTACCTAGTGAGTTCTGTCTCTCAGTATACCTCAGAACGAAGCTTCCACCCCTGTTCAGCCAACTTTTCAATGACCCAAAATGTTGCCACCTCTGAGGCTTTGTCTAGGGTCTTCTTTCCTGGAATACTCTTCCTTCCTCTATAAATGTCCTTCATGCTTGAAAAGTCAGTTCAAGCTTCAGCCTTCTCCTATAACCTCTTTATCAGACTTCACTGAACTTCAAGTGTTACTGCTAACAATAGTTACGTTAGTACTTTCTCTCTCTCTCTCTCTACACTTGTGTTCATTAAACCAGGGGTCCCCAACCCCCAGGGCCATGAACTTGTACTGGTCCATGTCCTATTAGGAACTGGGCTGCACAGCAGGTGAGTGGCAGGTGAAGCTTCATTTGTATTGACAGCAGCTCCCCACTGTTCACATTACCACCTAAGCTCCACCTCCTGTCAGATCAGCAGGAGCATTTGATTCTCAGAGGAGCAGGAACCCTAATGTGAAATGTGCCTGCGAGGGATCCTAGTTGTGCATTCCTTATGAAAATCTACAGCCTGATGATCTGTCACTGTCTCCCATCACCCTTAGATGGGGCTGCCTAGTCACAGAAAAACAAGCTCAGGGCTCCCACGGATTCTACATTATGGTGAGTTGTATAATGATTTCATTATGTATTACAATGTAATAATAATAGAAATCAAGTGCACAATAAATGTAATGCACTTGAATCACCCCGAAATCATCTCCCCCGCCCCACCTCCAGTCCACGGAAAAATGGTCTTCCAACAAAACTGGTCCTTGGTGCCAAAAAGGTTGGGGACAGCTGCATGAAACTCTTACATATTCCTATCTACTCTGATACTTAGGACAGTATTCTGCCTATTGTAGATGTGTTGAATAAATATGTATTACATGTAAGGGTTTATTTTGTACAATGTTGAATCCTTCTTAAGGGAAATTTGACATCAAATCCTTTAGGGTGCATAATCTTTGACTCAACAGTTCTAATTTTAGAAATCGATTAGAGAAAACGTAGAGATGCTTATGAATATACGTGTAGGCTGTTGCCGTTGTTTGCTGTTGTGATTTAACAATAAGAAAGCAGGGGAAAAACCTTAAGGGGTCAGTTAAGTAAACCCTGATCCATGTCAAGCAGCTAAGAAAATCACGTCGCAGAATACTAACATGAGAATCAGTTTACAACATATCACCAAATGCAAAAAGCAGGTGGTAAAACAGTATGTACAGCAACATTCAATTTTTATTCAATAGACAGACAGATGGACAGTGGAGATCACCTAGGAGGAGGCTTATGGGGCTTTTTCTCCTTGGTGGTTTTCTGTGAATTTCAATTTTTGGACACCAAACTCAAGTGTTATTAATGTGTTACATGGTTCCGTTAGATGGGAATTTGCTCTTTCAAACCATACACATCAACAGAGCAGTTTGACATGAGCGCATGCCTAAGACGAACTCTACTAGAACTTGGTATCATGTGGAAGACAGCCTGCTATGGAAACAACATTAGCTGAACTTGGAGTTGAGAAACACTGCATCGATTGTGCCTCTACTACACAATTCCGGTCAGCCCTGGAAGTCACTTGTTTTTCTTGAACCTCAGTGTTTCTCCTATGAGATAGGTAAATATTTTCCCCTAATTCCACCACCATTACATGTTACAAAATGTTAGAGTGATGACTTAAGTATTATTTGTCAAAATACTGAACACTTTTTAAAAATGCAGCTGATCAGCATCAGGTGAAACTGTCATCAACGTTGGAGAAATGACCCTCTGAAATCTTTTAAGCTCTGATTACACCACAGCCTTGAATCACAAAGTGGTGTCTACTTCCTGGGCCAAAGTGCAGTGAAGTACAATTTCACTGAGTGCCAATTTAATACCTGTGGATACATTCATTAAGTAACACTTCAAGAACACTGCAGAGTATGTGCGCAATCATTTTAGGACAACATTACTAAGTTTCCTCTTCTTTTAAAAGTTTTTACCACATAATTTGCAGATTGCCTTGTTTTTCCTAAGAGAACAGACAGCACTGGCATGAATTTTAATAGGAGAAATACACTGGGCTTCAGATCAATAACAAAGACAAAAAACGTAAAGCCTTGACAGACTCATGAAGAAGGCACTATTCTTTATCTTCGCAAAAATGTTGACATTGAATCTACTTCACTAGGTGAGCAAACAGTCTTGAATTAGTCACTTAAATACAATGCACATATTTACAGATACACATGACTGAGCGCTCTTGGCATATGGCTGGTACGTGGATATCAAACGCGGCTTGACACGAAAACACACACCCTGGTCATGACTGCAGATAGCAAGACACACACAGAAACACCTAAACAGCCCACAGGGCAACTTCCCCCGAGAGCTGCATTCAGGTCTCAGATAAAAGAACAAAAGAAATAGAAAATCCCTTGAAGGGAAGGAGGGACTGCGTGCCCCAGAAGATGTCTGCACTCACCTGTTAAGTGGTTGGCAATCCTGGTAGTGGGTTTGGGAGGCAGGGCCGGGGGCTGCTTGAGAAGGGGCAGCTGCTTCACTGGGGTCTCTTCATGGTCTCCAGGGAAAGCAGCAGGTTTTTTGGGGGGCAGGAGCAGGACTGGTTTGGCTGAAGGATCTTGGGACAGGAGGACTCCAGACTCACTGGCAGAGGGACTCTCTTCAGACACTGAGGGGACAACCACATGATACACAGGAGACATTACACAAACGCAGTGCAGGCACGGCCAGCGGGGAACACAGGACAGGGACTCGGGCTAGCAACACAGCAGAGCACCGATGCTTCAGGCCACCACGCATGTGTGGAGAGCTACAGCGAGGACACCAGAAATCCAGTGAAGCAGGAGGGACAGAGAGAGGAGGCAGAGGAAGAGAGAGGGTGGAGGCAGGAGGAACAACAGGGAGAAAGAGGAGGAGGGCGTTTTCTCCAAACCATCAAAAACTTGACCATTTCAGACTCAGCACTGGTCATACAAACCCTATGCATGCTCTCAGATGTGACTGATGGGGCACAGCAGGAATCACCAGGGTGGCCGGTGCAGAAGGTCAGGGTGCAGAGCCCCTCTAAACTGAACAAGAACCGAATGCCAGCACCCATGCTGGGGCCTGCTTGCCCTCTGATGAGGGGCAAGAGGGAGTGGATTCCAAAGAGTGGACGGGCTCAGTTTTGTCCACTGGGTCCGCTCTGTCTCTGCTCTCAGATCTGTGACACCGGGTACAGATGACAGGCTGGAATGATTACACCACACAGGCTGCGCCCTGGGGCCCTGTACAGCTGCTTCTCCAGGTTCCAGAGTGCCTGGCACTGAACAGCAGCCTCCCAGCCCAAACTCTGTGATTTTAGCAACAGCGCCCTGCCCCTGCCAGCTCCTGTAAACCTTGACGGGGCAAAGGATGCTTTAAGTCAACCTTTCAATCTTTCATTCTTCCCCTTGCCTCTCTCTTCTTGCTCACCACAACTATAGTTTTCTTGTATCAATTCCTCCATTTCTCTTTGCACTGCATTGGACCCATCTTTTCCTTCCCTTCATGGGGGAACCCCCTGACTGGCTTTCATAAAGTGCTGTCACTGGGTTGTGGCACACACCTTTTTACCATGCCAGTAGCTTGGCTGATGACAGACTGAAAATCTGTGATTCTGCTGGAATGACAGAGTTTTACTATAACAATCAAATCTAGCTGACTTCAATGTCACAAGGAAGGCTGGATTCTTTTACAAAATGCACTGCTTTTATTAGGAAATGCTCCCTGGGGTGGGAGGCTGTAACTTCACTATGTCTCCTCTAACCTCCCGCCACTGCACCAGTGAGAAAGCCTATAAGTGACTCCTCTCCTCGCCTTCCCCCGCACCTTCTTCCTCCCTGATCAGGTGTTCTGTGCAGCACCAAAGCCCTGCAGAGAATCCTCATGAGCACTACACTCTCCTGTCTTAGGGACACTATTACAAGCAGTGTGGGACATATAATGGAGTAATGACTCACCAGGTCCCACAGCAAAGCATGGGAATTAACCCTGTGAAACCCCATCCCCACAACCTCCCACGTGACCACCTGCGGATGTGGATTTTGCACATGATGGGGAGAAAGGCCTCTCTACCTATACCCTGGATATCGCAAGAGGTTCCTCTCTCAGACTCATCTGGCCACAAGTACCACTGCTCACTAGCTGTCAGGAAGGACTCATTTTGGAACAAATAGGATCACTCTTCAAACCTGCTGAGAGAATGAGTATTGGCCACTCAGCCACTTTTGGACCAAAGAAGGAGATGACAGTCAGATGGCATCAAAAATCAGCTATTGGCAGGATACAATTCAATCAGTAAACTGTATAAAATTTAATTGACAATTAAATTGATTGACTGTATCCAATAAATGGACACAACCATTAACTGGTATATTGGAACTAAGACTAAAGGGCCTTTCAAACGGACAAATTCGCTGGGTGTCATATAGAAATTTAGGATTCCTCAGCTTTACCTTAACAGAGATGATTGCTAAAAAACAAAATAATGATATTTTAAATCAGTAATGTTACAAAAATAAGCCACATCTTCTTAAAAGAGATTAAGGTAATCAAGAGTTTTTTTAAACACGGTAGAATCATGAGTGTAAATATTTTCCACTTTTAAAAGTACTCATTATGTACCAAAAACTAAGCTGTTTTATCTAAGTTTCCAGCTCCTTATGCTCAGGATAGTCCAAAATAGAACTCCAAGTCCAGCCACGTCAAAGATCCCTGGTGCCACCGTCTGGGACTTGCCCTAAAATCCTACCAAGGGCATTACCTGGCCCATCCATGATGTCTGAAGGTTGGAGCACCTCATACGAGCAGGGGTCCCTGGGCATGGGGACTGGCTCCATTTCGGACAGGGCAGGCAGAGACAGCTGGCTGGAGCTCAGGGACTGCCCATTTTCCAGGGAGTCCTCTTCATTGGATATGGAGAGTTCCCCATCTGTCAAGAGAGAAAAGGAGATTGCAGAGTTAGACAATGTCTGCCTTCCAAGAAAGAGGCACTGACTGCCTGCTAACTGAGCCTAGCTGCTGCTGAACAACCTTTATCAAGGTCAGTCTCTAAAACCAACATCTGTTCTTTTTAAGACATTTATTTGATCTATAGAGATATGTTGTCTACTCCTCAGGGCAACAATTTCCAATGATCATCAGCATTTTGCCTGTTTTATCTCTGTCTTTCTAATCCAATCCATCACATTTCTATGTATTTTTTAAAATAAAAAGCAAATTAAAATTATTTTTGTCTCATAATTTCTAAAAACTTGGAAAAAACACTCAGCAGGCCTCAGAGATTGGAAGACCAGGATCGGGAATTCCTACTTTAGGGAGCAAAGGGCTTCATGTCACTCAACAGGCACCAAGGTCCTAGAAAAAACTCATCCCATCTTCTGTTTGCCTCCGCCCTTGGCCAATTTCTCTACTTGGATAAAGGATTAGGATGGCTCGCATCTGCACCTAGTAGGCTGCAGCCACCCAGGCATGTTGGGAAGTGCCAGAATTCTCCCAGTGCCGACCACCAATCATACTTCGTCCTGTAGACTTTGATGTTGCTTAAAGCTCAGCAAAACAAGGCCCACGGTGCAGGATCAAAGGCTCCCATACAATGGCCATTTGTCAAATCAAAATTCCCCCAGGGTGATTTCATCCTAGCCCAGGGGAGTCTTAGATAACTAGACATTAAAGTCAAATTAATTTTTAAAGAGGACCGAAAGCTGTTCCAGCGAGATGAAGAAACATCAGATGAAAGACTAAGTTCTGCGAGTCAGAAACACAGAAACCAGCAGAGCAATTACCTGACTTAAAACCAGGAGCAAGATGATGACGTGCAGAAAAGAAACAGGGAAGTGACTCCAAGGTGATTCTGGGATAAATAATCCTTTCCTTTTGCTATGTTCCGTCTCTAGTTTAATTTTAAGTACCAGTAATGTATGGTGGCACAGAATCCCTCCATGACCCACCCCCTATTAGAGTCGGTCCAGTGAGTATCTGTTCAACAGAGTAATCAACAAACCAACAGGCCTGAAATAGCATATGATTCAAGGACATATGGTGTTTGACCTGAATCTTCTATAAGCACAGAAAAAATATAATGAATGCAAAAAAAAAAATTCCTCTGAAGCAGACAGTGAAAAGCACCAGCATTTGAAGAGTGTGTGTTTTTATTAATTCAGCTTGATTATATGCCCAAAATGGTAGTAAAAGTTATGATGATGATCAACAATATGATGATTGATTACTCATCAGTGAGAAAGCAAAAGCAGTGCAGACTGTAAGCCCACACAATGGAAATCATACAGATGAACTGGGAGTCTTTGGGATGGGAAGGGCTGAGTGTCAGTACGTCGCCATCCGATCATGGATGCTCCCCAGTCCTCTTAACATGCCTTTATTTAGCGTGTTCAAACAGATGCCATGGGAAGTATCTCTGCTTCAGTTTCCCAGTTGGTGGAATAATGATGCAGCTGCCATTCAGTCTAACGCATCTCTAGGAAACCACTTTGATTCTTGATGTTCCAAGTACAATAAAATTTCTGGACGAGACAACCAGAGGGGATGGAGGTCTCTGGGTTCTTGCCAAATTCTGGCGCTTTGGGGGAAGGATGCAATCGAAAGATTTCCATAGATTTTAACAGTTAAAAGTATCATAGAAGCAACACTAGAAAAAAGAGATGCAACTGCAGTTGGATTACTCTAGACTCTCTTCATGAATTCTGGGCTTTGCTGGTTAACACAGAAGCAATATGGCTCGCTCCTCCTGGGACATATTAACTCTTGAAAAATTGAGCTCTCTATAGACTAAAAGTAACATTGCTAAATCACAAAGGCTAAAACCACTTTGAAGAGGAAATAATCTTGGGAATTCCATTGTTACAATTGCTAAATATACACTGACTTGGAAAAAGTAAAAACAGGAGAAGAAGGTATAAAATACTGATCATATCACCACCCTAACCTAACAGAAGCAGTTTCCTCTTTTGGCACACATTTTTCAAGACTGTGATACTGCTGTGCGCCAAATTTTGTGTCTTGCTTCCCCCATACTATTATAAGCATTGTAATTTGCATAACTATCATCTTAATGATTATATCGGATAACTATATGTCGATATTTACTTGGCTATCTCCCATTTGGTTGGTCACAAAGGGACAGGTTTATGCTATTATGAAAAAAATGTAATGAGGACCATCATCCTGCATGCAATTTTTCTGCAATTAGAATTATCCCCCTTTAGGATAAATCCTAGTAATGAAATTTTCATGTATTAATATTCCAAAGTCTAGTGACACATATGTGGATCTTGCAAAATTGTTTTATTAAAAGGTTTTCCAATTTACACAATTGGAAGAAAGATACAGACCATACACATATCTTAGCTTTTGGCAATTTCTTCAACATTAATACTGAAAACCATGTTTTGTCTGTCTGTCTATATCTACCTACCTATCTAGCAACCATCCATCCATATATGTATATACATATCTAGCAGAAAGAAATGAAAAACATTTGATAAGTATGAATTATTAATATCATTTATGACCAAGAGGGATAGCAACAAAAGTAAAAACTATTTGACTTGGATTCATATAAGGATTGAATAATACTGCCACTTTTAAATAATATTTTAAATTTTTTATTATGTTTTCAAACACACACACGCATGCACGTGGAACATTAATGTAACGGGCTGTATACAACCATTACTACAAGTGTAATTACTACAAGTGTCCCAGCTACTTGAAAGGCTGAGGCAGAAGAATTGCTTGAACCTGGGAGGCGGAGGTTGCAGTGAGCCAAGATCATGCCACTGGACTCCAGCCTGGGTGACAGAGTGACACTCCATCTCAAAAACAAAACACAAACAAAAACAAAGTACCATGTTTAAAATACATCTCTAGTGGGATAAGAAATCCTCATTTAATAAACAACCATTGAATAAAATTTGCTTTATATCTATATATTGAACAAATATGGTAATACATTTCATGCAAATCCAAAATTTAAAAAAAACTTTAAAATTAGAATAAAGTAGGAAAAATAGAACAGAAACAAATATATATTTATTTATTCAGGTCATTCAAGAGGGAAGCCAGATGGATAGTTCTGACTTCCTCATAAAACTTTCTGATTTTTAATTTGCAAAAGGAAATGCTGTACACCAAAGAGAATAACAAAAGCAGCACAATGGGAACACATGTGCTACACAGAACTAATAAAAGAACAAACTCTTCCAAGGAGGAAGAGTATTTGTTCTGGTAAATAAAAAAATCAAGTCCCAGGTGCCACTTGTAAAACACATAACCTTGCTAGGAATTAGAGAAATGCAATTGAAATGACCACATGAGTGATGTGGAGGCATGAAATGTGTTTGAAATAATTTCAAGTACAAAAGCCAGAATGGAGGACAGTATGCACATGTGGATTACAATGACACTCAAATGAAATATGCATGCAGGTCGGCAAAGCTCTGAAGTGAATCCGGCATGACATAGAACTTAATGATCCTTTGCTTTTTTCCCCCCTGCAAGATGCTTACATTTATTTAAAAAAATACAAAAGGCAGCCGGAGCAATCAGGCAAGAAAAAGAAATAAAGGGTATTCAAATAGGAAAGGAGGAAGTCAAATTGTCTCTAATTGCAGACAACATGATTGTATATCTAGAAGACCCCATCATCTCAGTTCAAAATCTCCTGAAACTGATAAGCAACTTCAGCAAAGTCTCAAGATACAAAATCGATGTGCAAAAATCACAAGCATTCCTATACACCAATAACAGAAGATACAAAATCAATGTGCAAAAATCACAAGCATTCCTATACACCAATAACAGACTTAAAGAGAGCCACATCAAGAACGAACTGCCATTCACAACTGCTACAAAGAGAGTAAAATACCTAGGAACACAACTAACAAGGAATGTAAAGGACCTCTTCAAGGAGAACTACAAGCCACTGCTCAACGAAATAAGAGAGGACACAAACAGATGGAGAAACATTCCATGTTCATGGTTAGGAAGAATGAATATCGTGAAAATGGCCATACTGCCCAAAGTAATTTACAGATTCAACGCTATCCCCACCAAGATACCAATGACCTTCTTCACAAAACTGGAAAAAGCACCTTCAATTTCATATGGAACCAAAAGAGAGCCTGGATAGCCTAAGCAAAAAGAACAAAGCAGGAGGCATCATACTACCTGACTTCAAACTACGACAAGGCTACAGTAATCAAAACAGCATGTTACTGGTACCAAAACAGAGATATAGACCAATGGAACAGAATGAGGCCTCAGAGGCAATGCCACACATCTACAACCATCCGATCTTTGACAAACCTGACAAAAACAAGCAATAGGGAAAGGATTCCCTGTTTAATAAATGGTGTTGGGAAAACTGGCTAGCCATGTGCAGAAAGCAGAAACTGGACCCCTTCCTGACACCTTACACTAAAATTAACTCCAGATGGATTAAAGACTTAAACATAACACCATAAAAACCCTAGAAGAAAATCTAGGCAAAACCATTCAGGACATAGGTGTAGGCAAGGACTTCATGACCAAAACACCAAAAGCATTCGCAACAAAACCCTAAATCGACACATGGGACCTATTCAAACTCCACAGCTTCTGCACAGCAAAAGAAACAGTCATTAGAGTGAATCAGCAACCAACAGAATGGGAAAAAATTTTTGCAGTCTACCTATCTGACAAAGGGCTGATATTCAGAATTTATGAAGAACTAAAACAGATTTACAAGAAGAAAAAAACAAAGAAACCCATTCAAAAGTGGGTGAAGGATATGAACGGACACTTTACAAAAGAAGACATTTATGTGACCTACAAACATGAAGAAATGTTCATCATCACAGGTCATTAGAGAAATGCAAATCAAAACCACATTGAGATACCATCTCATGCCAGTTAGAATGGTGATCATTAAAA